TGTAGCGCCCTCTCAGGTTAGCCGTATGGGCTATATGGGCTTTGTTGTTTTAATAACCACGATCACGTCGCATTAAAAGCACACACACAGCCAGGCCGTGAGGCTTAGTTAAATGCCGCTAATTAGGCCTTGCCGCGGCATAACTCTGCGCGCGTAACTAGGCCATTAAAAACTGGCTCAAATATTTGCGCAGCCATAAAAACGTTAATCAGGCACAAAGGGCCACAATGGCACACACGCAACTAGCTGGCCAAATTATGCGAGCAATGCCAGCCAACAACTTGCCACAAATGAGCCACTAAAAACGCGGTACTTACCTCAGGTAGTGGCTAATAACGGGCTGCATGTACGCGCGATAAACAATGGAGAATTCGCAAAATGCGAGAGCTTTTAATTATGCCTGGACTGTTGCCAAAAAACTGAACCAAACTCGTGGCATGCCACAACAAGTTGCCAAAAAAAAAAAAAAACTATTTCTATTGAAAATTGCCAGAGACAAGCGACAAGCGACTGGCGACTTGCAACTTGCAGCTTGCAACATGCCGCCTGTCTGCGATATAGAGAAAACAATAAACATGATGGGCATATTTTATATTTCCAAGAAACAACGGGCCATTGTCAACCGAAGCCATAAAGCCAAAGCCAAAGCCAAAGCCAGAGCCAGGGCCAAAGACAAAACCAAAAACTCGGGCCAAACAATTTTTGGCATTGGCTGCCAGTCACAATTGGCGCTGGGTGTCCAAAGTGTCTGGCTGCCAAGTGGCTTGTGGGGGAGGGGAGCGGGGGCTGGGGGCAGCCATTGAATATTGGCTGGCATTATGTTAACGATATGTTTTAAACAATTCCATGAATAATCCATGAATAAGCCACTCCCTCCCTCTCCCTCTCACCCCCTCTCTCTCTCTCTCTCTCTCTCACTCCAATATGCAAACGAGAATTGTCACAAAATCTAAATATTAACTCTCTGCCTTGGCAGCATGTTTTTGTCACCTATGAAATCGATTAGGTCTAAATGGAAATTCAGGTAACTTCAGCCTGGCTGGGCGAAGTTGGCCAAATTGAATTTATATGGCTGCTTAAAAGCCCAAAAACTTTTGTGCACAAATAAAAATACAAAATGGTAATAGAAACAATGAGGCGGATTTTGCAAGGGGTGGAAACGGGCTGGAAGGGGGTGGGCATTAGACAGCTTAAAGCTTATAGCCAACTATCTAACTTGAATTAAAAGCAAACAGAGAGAAAGAGAGGAGAGTGAGAGAGAGAGAGAGTGGTTGAGTGGGAGAGGGATAGCGAGTGTGCTTTGTATAATTATGCAAATGCGTTTGATTGTGAAAATTGTGTGCGCCAGCGCCAACAAGTAGCCAACACTTTCAAATGCGCCACTTTGAATGCCGAAAAACAACACATTTGCATAATTATGCAATCTAACGGGGCTACACCCACACACGCACACCCACTCATACACCCACACACACTCACACACACACAGTAGGGCAAGTGAAATTTTTGGCTAATTCACCGCAAAGTTTCGGCCACTCGAGCAAAAGTTTCGATATTTCGCTTAGCTTTTTGCACCAGAATTTATTGCGCAGGGCCTGAGCTTTACCTAAAATTTGCATATGTAGCACACACCACCTATCGCAGCACGCAGCACCACCCAACCACCCACCGCAAACACGCCCTTTAACCCAACAGTAAATTTAATGAAAACTCGGTTCGAACAACAAAGTTGAGTTACGAATTTGAAATGCAACGGGGAAAATTGAGGAAAATCGCTAAATGCCACGCAGATCCCCAAGCAGCTTGGCGATCTCCTTCTTCATGGTGATGGCGCGATAGGCCAGCAGCTGGGCGAGCATCGCGTGCTTCTCGATCAGGGCGATGGCCTCCTGGTCGCCCACGCTGGCCTGCTTGGCCAGCCCCTTGGCCGAGTCGAGTGCCATGTGGGCGTGATTCAAGGCGGCCGTTACCTTGGCCTCGGCCTCCTGGTAGGCAGCCTCCACATCGACGCCCTGGCCCTGCTCCTGCTGGGCCTTTTCGATAATGTTCTTGGCCTCGGACAGCAGGGAGGCGGTGCCGGTGGCCATTTCGAACACGAATTTGGCCACCCTCTCGGCATTTATTTTGACCGAGTCGTCGCCCTCGTTGCGGGCACAGACTATTTCCTGCTGCATGTCTGTCCGCGAAGCAGCCATCACTCCCTGCACGGGCTTGATTTTCATGGGGTCCACAGTTTCCACATTCGTCTTGATGCTTTTACTCTCATCCATGACCATAACGTTCGGTTTCTTTATAGCTGGTTTCTTCGGCTCCTCCAGCAGTGAGGCGTGCGCTCTGCGACGCTCCTGATCCTGATCGGCTGTATCCGGCTTAAAGTATTCCTGCTTCACATCCAGCACTTTCATCTGTTCATTGACATTGGATGCATTGCAGCTCGAAGGTCTGGGACCGCAGGGATCTTTCTTCGGCGGCTTCTTGCACTTGTCAAACTCCTCCTCCCGATCGTCGCATGACGAGGCACGCTTACGCCTTGGCTCCGAGCAGCTCGCCCTCTCCTCTTCACACTCGTCCTCGGCCTCGACGCATTTGCGTATGCATTCCTCGTGCTTTTTCATTTGCTTTTTCTTCTTTTCCTTGGCACACTTGTCCTCTTCCGCCTCCGACTCAATGTCCAGGTCAACATGATGTGGCTTGACGTCCGCCTTTGCCGTATCCTCTCCCCGAATGATGGTCTTGTTGCATATGTCGGAGCGAGTCTCCCGTTTGAAAACATCTTCGTCCACATGGCTGGCGCTTTCTGCTCTCTTGGCAGCCACAGCTGCTTGGACCTTCAAGCGCTCGGCAGCCGCCGTCTCTGTGACCTGTTGTCTCTTCTCTCCCATCTTCGACACGGCTGTCTTGAATAGAGCAATAGCTTTGCCTATCATGGTCTTGACTAGCTCGATGCCCTCGGAGGCCATTACTGCGGCGCTCTCGACCGCCTGGCTCTCGATCTGACTCTCCGCTTTGGGTTGAGTCGCCTTTACTTCGGTAGTTTTTACCACGGCTGCTTTCGCCTTCTTCTCCTCCTTCTTTGGTGGACTAGCAGCGGGCTCGGTCTTCTTCGGGGCGTCCTTTGGGGCATCCTTCTTCGGGGCATCCTTTTTAGCTGCTGCTTTAGCATCAGTTTTGCCAGCTGGTGCGGCTCCAGTGGGCGGTGTTTTTGGCGGTGTCTTTGGTGGAGTCTTTGAGGGATCCTTTGGATCTGGTTTATCACCTTTTGGTTTCGCATGCGCCTCCCCCTCCTCCTCATCGTGCGAAACTTCCTCGGATGGTCCGGGCTTCTGTTCTTCGGGCGTGTGCGGCCAAAACGTGGGCTTGTTTATAAAGTCGGGCGCCTCGTTGGGATGCGCAAGACAAAATTCCTCCATCGTCATTTCGACATAAGGCTTCAGGCCCTTCAAATGCTCCACTTTCTTCTGCAGCTCCGCGATGCGCTTATTCGATTCCTCCTTGTACTTTTTGACCTCCTCCTGCACAGCCTTAGTGATCTGCTCAGACTCTCCAAAGTACTTCGAGTGGTCGATCAGCGAATGCCGATTGGTGATCATGTTGTCCAGCTGTTCATACTTCTTTTGAAACTCATCCACCCAGCTGACCATCTCCTTGCGCACGTTCTCCTTATAATATGGCCAATCGATTTTGGGCAACTCTGCTGGATATTTATCAACGCGACTGTAAAGGAAATTGCCAAGCTTAGAGTAAAGGAGTAAAGGATACTCTCTGGATCATCTGAATGCACTCACGCTTTGTATTCGTTGGTCAGCTTGGCAAATGCCTTGAACTGCTTGCGCTGATTGGGCGGCACGCGCTTGTATAGCTCGGCGAGCTCGATTCCGCAGCCTTTATCCTTCTTGCCCTTGCCCTTGCCCAAGCACTTTACAAACTTCTCCCACATGCTGGTGGTGTGTAGAAACGGTGTTTGGAAAACTCATATAAAAATCTATAAAATATATACACATTTATTTATTTATTTATTGGAAATAATAAAATAATGCGCGTGTATGTTTGAATGTGAATAAATATTGCTGTGTGAGTAGGTGGGGGGGAAATATCAATGAACAATGTCAAGTCAGGTGGCTCAAAGGTAAGTTGACCTCTCCGAGCATACCATCAACATAATATTTTGAGTGCCTCAACGTTTCAATGAGCCGGGCAATAAAAGCTGGCTTTTACGAGCTTCGAGCTGCTAAAAATTGCATATTCATGCATTTTCAATTAAATCAAAGTCAGACGCATTGGCATCTTCGACTAAGCAGTTGACAAACTGACAATAAAATCGAAAATTAATTCCATGTCACAGGCAACGCAGCTCTGCTCCCCCTGCTCTCCCGCAGCTCCAGATGGCTGGCGCACCAAAACTTAAATGTAATTGCATAAGCAGAGTAGAAGGGTCATAAGAGAGAGACGAAGGGGGGTGGGTTGGTGGCTGAGTGTGTGTGTTCTGGTAATCGAACGAAATGAAAGTCACAGCAGCACCAGCAGACACCCTGCAGGCCAAATGTGCAGCAGCAGGAGTCGGAGTCGCACCACCGATCCCATCAGCAGCAGTCGTCGCACCACCAGCATACGGTCTGCTCCAAAGTGACAATCGCAATTTATAACGCAACGAAAATGGGCTAATGCCAATTCTCCAGGTAATTGTCGGTATCGAAGATGTTTGGCCAGGGTGTGAGGCAGGCAGGCGGCCAGGCAGGAGCAACCCTTGACAGAGGCGAACGCGTGGCAAATGGAACAAGATGCGAGAGCAGCGCCTGCGCACTCACACATGTACACAAGCCCTCAGGTCAGCTGTCAGTTTGACAGTTGGCAAATACCGCTACCCACCCCCGGCAGGACGTTGCGTCCCAGGACATTCGCCTAGGAACAGCTGCGTTGCGCTCTCGCGCTCTCTCGCCAGGCGAAACGTTGCGGAATGGCACGGAATGGAACGCCACTGAGAGCGCAATTCTCTGACTTCTCTGTCTGTCAACGAAATTAGTGCGGTTGTGAATTTTTCGTGCATATTAATTTTAGGCCAAAACCCACGAAAATCTTGGGAAATTGCAAAATTATTGAACTTCAGCTACTGCTGCATGCGTGAACTATGAAAAACCCTGGCTAAAAGTGTTTACAGTGCTCGAATCGGTCCTCCTCGCCCGGACCCAGCGCCCAGAGAGACTCTCGGCGCGCTCAACGCGTCTCTTTGTGGATTTTCTATTTGTGTATCATACAATATTGTGTTTACATTTTTTTGCTGTCACTTCCAAAACATTGCTGAAAAAATGCGTTGCCTGAGTCTTTAAGAGCTTAATATATTCAAATATAATATTAAGAATTGCATTCGAGTAAGTCTCATATTGTCTATTGAATGAATTTTCATCCAAAACTCTCTGCAAGTCATGCAAAAATATTCCCTCCATGTGTGTGAGCGCATGTGTATGTATATATATGTGTGTATGTGTGTGTGTGTGTATGTGTGTGTATGTGTGTGTATGTTTTAGCTGTCACCAATTATAAATAACATTCTTGTAGAAGAAATCTAAGGCATCTATACGAACGTCAGTTAGCAAAACTTTTTTATTAGGCGAAACATTTATTGACTTCTTACAAATCAAGAAGAAGAAAATAAATGGTTTGAACAAAAATTTTAACATATCTATATATAGGAAAAATAATAAGAAAATGTCATTGCTCAAATAAAAAATTTACTAAAAATATAAAACATGTATTAAAATGTTTATTTATTAATTATTGTTTATATATGTATGTAGTATGAATATATATATATATATATATGTTTTATTTACAATATACGTATGTATAATGCATTTAATTGTGTTGCTAATAGAAATTCTTATGATTTTAAAACACCGATGTTGATCAATAAAGAAATTTTTAGGGACAAATTAAAAAAAAAAATGTATTAGGCATGCAAGACATAAAATATTTATTATATGGCATTATAAAAAAGCCCTACTAAAAATGAATTTAATAATAATATAAACATTAACTTATCATAAAAATGGAATAAATAATTTTTTATTTTCATTTTTTAATATATTATCATTTATTTTTTTTTTTTTTAATTTTTTTTTTATATAAATGTTTTTTTTTTTTTTTTTTGGTTTATCTATATTTTACATTTTAAAATTTGATTAATTATTACTAATATTTTTATTTTAATGCCCACTGTAGATTTGGGTTGAACTTCTCTTCATAATACACATAATTTTATATTATATATTTTATAATTTTATAATAGTATTTTATTTAATACTATTCTTAAATACACTTTCATATACGCCCCGTATGCCATTCTTAATTGTCTCTGAATTTCTACAGAAAGTATTTATGTTATTCTACTTCTATGGCTATTTGCATTTTACATTAATTTGTTAGCTAAAATATTTTAACGCATTCAGTAGCGCTAACATATGGCATATTGTGTTGCCTTAAAGCCCAGAGTTGACTTATGTATGGTACATAAAAACTTTGTAATTTCCAACATGTCCAAACTTAAGTAATTGTTGTTGGTCAGCTTTTAGCAGGCAGTGTGTGTGTGAGGGCTTGTGGGCATGCCTGATTCATATATACGTATATAAAATGTAAAATTTACGGAGAAACTTAATGAAACGCATTAAAATTCCAGCAGCCTAAATGAAATGAAATGAAATTGTACAAATAAACTAATTGCCTTGAAGGATACTTTACAACTTTGGTCAGCAGACAACAACAACAACAACAGGAGCAACAACCAGAGCAATTGAGAGTGCCACTAAAACGTCAGCAGCTGTTGTTGTTATTTTTGTTTATTTTACTTTTTTCTATATTTATTTTTTCCTGCTTTATTTTTTGTTATTTTGCTGGCCGAGAGCTGCGAGCGTTGCGGAATAAATACAATTTGCGGCAAGCGGATAATGTGCAAAAATAAATTTTCCACAGCGCGCGCTGATGGCTTAGAATTTTAATGTAATTTATTTTGTGGAAACAAACAGCGCCCAGTGGGCCCAGTGCGCCCAGCAGCAAATAAAGTATGACCAACATAAAAATTTATGCGCCCAAAATTGGGAAAGTACAGCAACAGCCCGACAAGTCGAAGCATAGGCCAGCTGCCAAACAAACCTATATTCATGTATACTTATATATATGTATATGAATCTATATGTATGTGTATAATGTCTAGCGAGTCTTGGATCGCTTCGTTAAGCCTTTCACGCTCCTGCAAAAACTTTAAAGTGCGCAATTTAAATGTACATTTTGCTTAAGACCCTCCAGCGTATCGTGCCACGCCAGCAGACTAAGCAAGTAGTTATACACACACACACACACACACACATACACAGAGGGACGCCAACTATTTATGGGGCTAGGCAAGGCGGTGCCCCAGCCGGCAGCCAAGTGATTTTATGCTAATATTATGGGTCATTGGGATTTGCGCACAGCAAAGTGCTTGTTAAACATTTCATTAGACTTAGTGTAAATACCCGCGGTTAACAGGCGCTCGTAAAACTTGCCACACACACACACACGTGGCTAAGCAAAAGAGCGTTTAACATTCGATATTAGCGAAAGTTTGGAGTAGTTTGTGAAATTGAAAGTGGCTTTTATGATATAGCATATGTTGCCCCCATCTGAAGCCAAACTCTGGCCCAAGCTGAAACTCAATCAATATGCGCTCTAGAAGCCAGCTACAATACATATATGTAATTACACAGCATATGCTGTGAGACTGTGTGTGTGGGTGTGTGTGTGAAAAGTGAAATTCTAAAATAAATTTATCAAAATCCCAGCCTGACCCGTCGCCGCCTGGCCATATGCTTGACTCTCGCATAGCGTATGCAGGATAATGCCAAATCATGTCACTCGCACATGTGGCCACACATTACGTTTATTAAAATCGTGCCTGCTGCCGCTGACGCACACTCCAAATGCGTTTTTGATCAACTGCCGCGTCACTGAGTCCCGAGAGCTGGCAATGGGCAAGCAGAGCCTGGCGAGCTGCAAATTCGTTAGCTGAGCTGCACTTGGTTAGATCCCAAAGCGTTGACAAATGATTTGCGTTCTGCTCCAATTCGGCAGCCTGAATAATGCCGTAGTTTAAAGCGTTAAATTTACGTTGCGGCTGCTGCTGCTGCTGCTGCTGCTGCTGCTGCTGCTGCTGCTGCTGCTGCTGCTGCTGCTGCTGCTGCTGCTGCTGCTGCTGAGACTGAGGCGAGAGTTCAACGAGTGTCTGCAATAATTGGAAAATTTTCATTTGTCCTTTTGCCCTTGCGAGGACTCGCTCTGGCTCTGACTATGGCTCTGGCTCTGGCTGTGGCCTCTGCAGATCGGGCAACAAACGAGCTGTAGGCGCATTTGCCATCTGTCACTCTGGCACTCGTGATGAATGTGTTTGACGTGTAGCCTCGGCGCGCCCACGAGCATGGCTAACGGTGATGTTGCCAGTTGCCAGTTGCCCATTGCCCATTGCCCAGGCCCAGGCCCAGGTCGAGGCTCAGGCTGCTTTTCGCTCTCATGATGAAACGCAGCGCACCGCATGACGTTGCATACTTTGCGGCGCACGGGCCACTGTGAATGATAGCTGAGCGCATGGGCGCGTGGGCGTGGCACGACTGATTCGCTTTCTTTTTTGTTTGTGCGAGACGACGTTGCTGTCAATAGTCAGCGCTGAAAATATTAATGGTTCGACTTCATTTCGCGCGGCAAATTGCCCAACAAATGTTGAGCACCAGTTGACAATGAGGATGGAGCGAGGCGGGCTTTTGGCTAATAGCAAGGGCGTGATTGCTTCTTTAACAATGTACATTCTACACAGTCTTGTCATCTTCTGTCTGCTTTCTCTTTGCAGCTCAAGGACACGCACGCACACATCGATATACACATTAAAGAGCGCAAACAGTGACAGGAGCAATGCAAACAACTCGCACTCGACAGGCGCCACACCAGCAGCAGCAGCAGCAGCAGCAGCAGAAGCAACTGCAGCATATGCCACACAATGTGTGGCAGCAACGTCAATGGCTGCTGCTTGCCATCGTCCTCATGTTGACACTGTTCACGCGCACTATTCAAGGGATTACCGAGGAGCTGTCACCAGGTAAGTGTGGCCAAGTGTGATTACAAAAACAAACGCTACAAGTGCAAGCACCTCTACTGTTCCACCCTCTGCCACTCCCCCTCTCTCTCTCTCTCTCTCTCTGTCTGCATTGCATCTTACAACATGCTGGCCAACACAATAGGTTCGATGTTCGCCCAGGCATTGTGGCATTTCTGCCACCTGCTTCATGGCTGATTGGCCAAATGCTCCAGCTTGGGCAAAAGAAAACAAAGCTGAGCACAAAAATAAAAGAAAATAAAAATCACAGAATAAACATCACATAACGAACACTCTTGCTCTATATATGTACACTCAAAGGTCTGTCTATGGGTTCACTAAATGGGTCACAGCATAGTCCTGCAACTTGTCATTCGCATCTGTGTCAACTATTTTCTAATCAACAGCACTTGAATGTAAACACTATTTACTGAGCGAGTGGAATATGTTTTGTATGCTTAGACAGTTGATATTCTATTTGAATAACTGTTTATTTCTTACGGATACTTCAAATAGATAAAAGCAAATGACATTTAAATATACATTTTCGTGATTTAATTTTAAATTGAAATCAAATACAAATTGTTGCTCTTGAATGCAATGCAATTAATCTGACAGCATGCCCAATATTTTTTTACACTTATCTACATTACATTTAGCTAGTTAATTTCTTATTTATTTATTTTTTAAATCTTTTGTTATTTTTTTTTTTTTTTTTTTTTTTTTTTTTTTTTATTGTTTTTTTTTTTTTTTAATATTCAGCTTTAAGAGAAATAAATATGATATTTACAAAAGAAATTCAAATATATAATCCAACGCACATGAGCCCACAACTTATTATATCTATGCCTACAATTTTTAATCTATTTTTTATCTATTTTTTAATAATTTTAATTATTAAATTTATCATTTTTTTTAATATTTAGCTTTAAGATAAATTAATGTGATTCATATTAAATATGATAATTTATTTAATATTTAGTTTAAAATAATTAACCAAACAAAAAATTGTAGACTATTTAAAAACCTCACAAAATATAAAAACAATTGCCAGACTTTTGCCAAATTGGAGACGGAATAAGTTATTATAGAAATTCATATATTTTTCATTCAAAATTTATAATTTATTTTTAAATTTATACTATTTTATATTATATTTATGAATATATTTGTAGTATTATACTATATATATTCATAATATCATATAACATAATATATATTCATAATATTTATCATAATTTATTTTTAAATTGATTTCAAATCATGAAGTATTTTTAGTCTTACATATACATATAATGTATGAATATATATATTCATAAATAATTAAATTTAAATTGTCTTGCTTTCTGTGACTGTAAATGGACTCATATTAATAATTATTGTGGATATTAATAGATTCTTATAAATAAATTTACACAAATTCTCAACGATTGCCCACATCAAGCAATGCGAAATTAAGTTATCTGTTCCCATCTCTATCAGACTCTCTTTCTCTCTCTCACTCTCTCGCTCTTTTGGTATCACATATTAATTACTTTTATATCGTTTGGAATTGTTGGTATTGTTGCCGATAATTGATTGGCTGCGTATCCATGGCAAGTGTTCGAATGCTGCCAGAAATTGGCAAAATGCCTTTACAATTGAGTATGTTTGGAAATTGTGCAATTATGTTGCCAAAGGAGTGAAATGGATACTGCTATGAGGCTCGTCTCTCGGCTCGAATCTCGTCTCGTCGTATCAGCTCGGGCAATTGATTTGGATTATTCATAAATGGCTCTCAGGCAATGCTCCGGCTGCAGATACCCGATGTCTATTCATAATGCATGCCTGCGCCTTGGCCAACTTCAATCAGGTGAAAGTAGCTCAATTGGCAGTCGCCTGATAAATAAACAATGACTCCAGCACAAGTACATCAATATTAATTATGCAAATGATTACACGAGGCCCGCCTCTAGCTCAAATCGACTCGAGTCCTGGCAAGTCCTGGCGAGTCCTGGCGAGTCGAGTCCTGGGCATTTGTGTAACTTAAGCTCATTATAAGTGCATTAGCCAAAAGTGTCAGCCCACGATGCTTGTTAGCATTCGTCTCCTAACCGACTCCATTAGACGGGACGCGACACGAGCCTCGGCAGTGGCTAAAAATTTTCAATTTTCCTGCCCAGCTGGCTGGATTGGGCCAGAAAGCGAAATTATGATGAATGCGCCACGCTTTGACCCAAATAAATTTGTCAATTTATCATTGGCGTGGCCCCTTCGCAAAGAGATGCCGCCGCCCGGATTTATGCCACTCGATTCGCTCCAACAGCAACAATTGGCGAGGCTTTGCTCGAGGTTGCGGCCAGGGATTGGGTTTTGTGTTCTGGGTCTGCCATCTTATGATAATTTGAGTTACCCCCAGATTGAACAATATATATGTATGTATGTATATACACATCTTTTGTTGGCTTCGCTCTGTTTCGAAGTTTCGAGCACAACAGCAACTGTGTTCTTTGGGTCGGATAAGTGTCGGCTTATGCACTTATTAAACAATAATAATTGCAAATCATCTGACTTGACTTGCCTTGATGCCACTTGACTGCTGAGTGTGTGTGTGTGTGTGTGTGTGTGTGTGTGTGTGGCATGTTTTTGATTTGAATTAGACAACTTGTCCCGGCCAGGCTAATCAAATAAACGCTCGCATAACTTTTTTGTGCTGCCTGGTTTTACATGTGGCAAACAAGTCTCGTTCTCAAGACTTCTCATTTTTGTTGGCTGTTGAAAACATTTAACAAGCTGCCAGCTGCAAGCGAGCTGAAATGTTTCGCACTTGCTTCAGCAGCTCTTCTGCAACAATGCAAATTCCGAACAATGAAAATTCGTTAAAGTTTTACTTGTTCAAGTGTGTGCGAGTGAGTGAGTGAGTGTGGGTGTGTGTGGATGTGTGTGTGTGTGTGTGTGTGTAGATCCATAAACTGAAAGTTTAGATTTTTAGTTATAAGTTTCATGTCAGACAATGCAGATCAAACAAAGATTATTGCCCAAGTTTTATTCATGTGCAGTTGAAAATTGAAAACAGAAATGATTTATGACAAGTGTATGCAGAAACTGAAGTTATTCGGGACATTAATGTATGAATGGGGAGAAAGTTTCTGTTTTAGAAAAGCACAGATATTCGATGGAGGTTTTTGGTAGAGAGCATAAAAAAAAAAAAAAAAAAAAAAAAAAAAAAAAAATTAATAAACAAAAAATGCTTTAAAAATTGTATTATATAAAGAAAATATAAAAAAAAATAAATAAATAAATAAAAATATAAAAAAACTATATAAAACCTGCTTTCAGTTACGCTTCACAAAGAAGTCTTGTCTGTATGGGAGTTAACTCAGGGCTCTGCAGGAGCTCTTACAACTCC